TATTTTCAATAATTGTTGATTATTCTAAAACTATTAAACATTTTCTTACATATTGAACTTCAACATTTTCGTAAAAGAAAAATTTTATTCGGAATTGGCCAAAGAATGTGCTATTAAACGCTAATATAATAGTGAAAGAATACCCTATGTGTGTATGTGTATTTTTATGTATTTCTAGGTTATTAAGTAAGTTCGCGACAATTCTATATTTTAAAAAAGCTACATGATAGTATAGTGTAGTGTAATAATAAAATAACACACACACACACATATATATATATATATGTTACTTTATATAAATAATATTCGCTTTTAGATTAATTATCTCTGTGAAATGTATACAGTCTTAGAGCTGAATTGTTCTCGATGAACAGGCGATAACCGACCAAAGGCGACACAACCTCTACTATAAAACCTAACTATGTAAAAAAAAAATACATATAATATAGAAGTTACATTTCGAATACATCTTCGAATATGTCATTCATTGCATATTATATATATTATAATATCATCTTAGTTTTTTAAATATATATTATATATATGTTGTGTGTGTGTGTGTGTATGGACTACTACTGAATTACTATCATGTATTTAAACCTATATTTTATTTATACAATTTCTACATAATATAATCCTTTACTAATATTTAGTGTGCAGATACTATTATAGATATTTTTCAACAAGAATATCAATAAATATTTGTACACATATATATTTAGATATGCAGTATAATATAATTATACAAAACGTGTCATGTATAAGCAAGAATTTATTATTCATACTTTATTTGATTGCACGCATACATCTATACACACACACACACACACATATTGTATGAGATTTATTTTTATTAAATGAAGAAAAGAAACTTAATTTGTAGTTTTTACTATATTTGATATATGAAAAAAATGTTTGCGATACTTGTAGTTCTTCTAAGGATAGATAATATTTAAAAATTGTAAAACTTTTTCTTTTTTTTTAATGTAGCCAAAATTAATTTTTGTGTGACATATAACATAATAATTTCTAAAATAAAAAGTTTTATATAACTTGAAAGAAATATACAATCACATTTTATTTTTAAAGAAAATAAAATAGAAAAGTCTGCTTCACTCGAAAATGTTATATGACAAGTAGCTAAAATGTGGAAAATAATTTATACTACTTTTATGCATTCATATATACATGTAAATGTAATAAGATACTCATATATATTTTTTACAAAACGTTAGAAAAATCTTATTACATATTGATATAATTAATAATTTCCATAATGTCTTAATCTATATAGCAGAGCAGAGCCTGTTGTATTGGTAATGCTGAGATAACCACTGCCAGGGGAAAAATTAATCATTTGCGGCTGACCTATTTTAGTTTGAAACGTCGGAAAGTTCGAAAATACGGTAAACGAAGGTATGTGCAACATTTTAAATGCATTGTATTTGTCAACTGATGCCGCGCTCAATATTTCGGAAGTCGGATTAAACTTCAAGCTTGTTACACTAGTTACAAGATTCATCACTATTTTTAAAGGTATGGGACTTTGGTCCTCCAGAACATTTTTTGTGTTATAAAGATTAATCACACCTTGAGCGCTACCTGTCGCTATAAACTGACCGCTTGGGGATACGGCAAGTGACACACAAGATATGCATCCATCGTCTGTGGCACGATTAATACATGTACGAGTATTGAGATCCCACACATACATTTCGCTACCATCTGCATTTCAATAGGTTAAATTATTGAAAATATAATTTAATGCAAAATTTTTTGGGAATTGCGCAAAAAGGTAAAAATTAAATAAAAATCGTAAAACCCTACTTACTACCGTGTGTGATAAGTGTTCTATTATCTGGACTGAACATTAGTGTTCTACATTTCGAGTTCATCTTGAGTGTACTGATAAGTTCTTTAGTAGAATTATGTAATAAATATATTTCATCCGATCTTCCACATAATGCTATTAAATTGCCATCAGGAGATACTTCGTATCGCTAGAAATATCAAAGTATATATTATAATATCACATTCAAATTACAGAAATTTATTTCTAATATACGTAAAATTAATAAATCAACAAACTTTCATATTTGTAATTCCATGTGGCAAAGGTAATTTATATGTTTTGCCATTCATTAAATCATATGTATGACAATATGGATAATATTGGGAACCAAGCAAGATTTCCGTTCCATTTTTCATGAATGTTGCTTTGCTAATTGGATATTTTTCAAATTGCATGCTATGCAATTTACCATTTGTATGACCATCTACCTGTAGAATACAAATGACTTAAGCAATGGTAAAAATTGATGATAATAAATGTTGTGATAACCTGATTTAATTTAATTAAATAAAATAATTCATACTTATTTAAATATACACACACATACCTGAAACAATGACAAAATGCCTGATGTACCAGCGACCAAAGCTACAGTAGACAATGGATGAAAATCTACACTCGTGATGATAGGACCTTCGGTATGAGTACTTTTATTCAAAGCCTTGAGTGCTTTGATATCAATAATATTTTTTGGCAGGTTCTTTACCTGTGGCGTCTCTAAATGGCAACTATGCTAAAAACGAAAAGAATCAAATAAAATTTAATTCATAGAACATTTTGCAACAAAAAGGAAATTTTCTAAAATATTAAGGTACCTTCAAAATATCATTATCCAAGTCATCAGCTTTATCCTTTTTCTCAAATTCAGCCCATTTTGGAGTACCCACAAACAATTTGTACCTATTCTCCAAGTATGTTGTATACAATTTTTCTGATTTTTTGGATGGCAATCTGCGATTCTGTGCACTTAGCGCTATATCCATGCTGTTATAGGATATATATAAAATAGCAGTATATAATTTTATATTTAGCGTACATAATTATATAATACATATACAGCCATTCATATATATATGTGTGTGTGTGTGTGTATAATAAAGAAAAAAAAAGATCGAGCAAAAATATATCTTTTTTTTATACATACGTATAATTGTAATCGTCATCATCTATCCATACTGCTTTCTTTTCCTCCAGCTTGGCATCTTCCCCATCATTTAAAACTGAAATATCTTGATCTGAATTATTCTCATGATCTTCTATTACTTTTTTATTTTCAGTATCAACAGATACGTTTATTATTTTTGTTAGAGATTGATCATCCAGTAAATTATTTACAACATCACTTGGATCACCAAAAACTACTTTTTCTAATCTGCAAATTAAATATTTGTATATTATTTTAAAAACAAAATTATTTGTTGCGTTATGCATTATACCTAGCTTCTTCATCCGCATCGTATTCATTTCTCCGTTTTCTATTCAAAGGAGAAAATTTTTTATTATATAATACCTTCGGCTGTCCATGCTTTTTGAATTTATATTCGTTGCTGTTTGCTTTACGCTTACATTCCTTATTCTTCATAGTTTTTTTATCCATTAGGATTTATTCGATAAGATAGAGTTTAACGAAAAGTATAAATATACACGTATATTTCAAGTGACGCGACAGCAAGTACATGAAAAAATACCTACTGGCTTGTCATAATTCAATACCGAGGAAATCTTTTCGGTACACACATATATATAACCTGATATTATATTTTTATCACGTGGTCTAGGCTGCGTTCCAGGAGTCGAGAGAATCAAGGAAGAGTAGAGCGGATACTGTTCTCTACTCTGATTGGTTCCGCCATTTTTAGGTTAACTCGTATATGTATATAAATATATATATCACATACATATGTGAAGTTATGTGATGAAATTGTGAGTGTGTGTGTGTCATAAATACCCCACACTTAAGTCCGTGTCACACTACGCATTGCGGACGCAGATCGGATTTGGAGTACGGACTGCGAATCATCAATCATCCAATCAGATCCTTGTCTACTTCGCTCTGATTGGATGGATGACGATTCGCAGTCCGTACTCCAAATCCGATTTGAGTCCGTAAAGCCCATGTCACACTACGCATTGCGGACTCGAATCGGATTTGGAGTACGGACTGCGAATCGTCATCCATCCAATCAGAGCGAAGTAGCCAAAGATCTGATTGGATGATTGACGATTCGCAGTCTGTAATCCAAATCCGATCCGCGTCCGCAATGCGTAGTGTGACACGGGCTTTAGGTTGCGTTCGGAAACATCACCCGTGTGCATACGAGCGTCCTTCTATCTTTGTTTAACTTTTGATACATAACAAAGATAGAATGACACTCGTGTACACACGGGTGATGTTTCCGAACGCAGCCTTACCAAAATATTATCTGAAAATGGCGGATTTCCGGTGAATCCGCTCCACTCCCTTGATTCTCTCTAGCCTAGTTTACACCAATATACTTTAATACGTACTAAGTACTACACTGGCCAATCATAGCCTTTCCTCTAAAGAATGGAATGGCTATGATTGGCCAGTATAGTACTTAATACGTATTAAAGTATATCGATGTAAACTAGGGCCGTGTTCCGATATTCACTACCAGTACTGAAAATCTATCTGACTAGTTTACGTCACATACACTATAGATTTTCAGTACTGGCAGTGAATATCGAAACACGGCCTAGGTCTCTGCCAAGAGCACGCTTTTAGCGCTATGAGCATGCTTTGTTCTTGTTCAATTTTCCGTAAATAACAAAGATAGAACGACGCTTTCAGCGCGTAAGCGTGCTTTCGGAACACAGCCCTAGGCCGGTATCATGAAGGAAGAGTAAAGGTGCCTTTACATGGCAGCGTCAAGCGTCGAGCGTTAAAGGTGCCTTTACATGGCAGCATTAAGCGTCGAGCGTCTGCGCAGAAAAATGCGCAGAATTTAAAAGAGATAGATTCTAGGCTGAAATTAGATTCTGCGCAATTTTCTACGCAGACGCTCGACGCTTGACGCTGCCATGTAAAGGCACCTTAAGCGTCTGCGCAGAATATATATCACTCATCATGCTATTAGCCGCAAGAAGCTGGAATCTATCTCATTTAGATTCCTGCGCAATGATTTCTGCGCAAACAATCGATGCTCGATGCTGCCATGTAATGGCACCTTAAAGGCCCTTGCACAATGCCAGGCAACAGGCAATAGGAACAGGAAATAGAAATTATCCACCAATAAGAACAGGGAATAACATCTATTCCCTGCTCCTATTGGTGGATAATTTCTATTTCCTGTTCCTATTGTTTGTTGCCTGGCATTGTGCAAGGGCCTTAAGGAGAGTTATCTCGATAGTATAGAAAGGAAATAGAAAAAAGTTGGTCACGAAAAATGTTCCCTATGTGGCTAGGTTTGCCAAATGGAATAATTTGGACCATTTTGTCGCCATCTTAAATATTCATATATGTATAGTGTTACGTTTAGTTGTGGTAGTAATTAGTAAGTAGTGTGTCATCCAACACACTTACTGATCACTAATACAACTAAACATAACACTATATATGTACAAATATTTAAGATGGCTACGAATTGGTCCAAGTCATTCCATTTGGCAAAACTGGCCACATACGGAACATTTTTCGTGACCATTTCCAATCTAGGTAGATAACTCTCCTTATTCTTCCTTCATGGCCGGTATTCATAATCCGTTCTTATATTCAAGATCGTCTTAAGGCCCGTTCTACAATAAATCGTATGTCGTTAGTCGTAAGCAAATTGACCAATCACAGTTGGATATTCTCGGAATAATCGACTGTGGTTGGTCAATTTGCTTACGGCTAACGACATACGACTTATTGTAGAACCGGCCTAAGTACGGTCTTAAGATGCTATGCGGCCATTTCATTGGTTGAATGGGATCTTAAGACGACCCAAGACCACACTTAAGACAATCTTGGATATAAGAACGGACTATGAATACCGGCCTTGGACTTATAGCTTCTGCTTCTACACATAGGATGCGGAAACGCTTGCGGCAAAAGCAACGCGGTAGCCAATCAATTTTTCGCTCTTTTAGAAAAATTGTGAATTGACTGGCTATCGCATCGCTTTTTGCGGCGCGTTAAGCCCATATCAGACTATGCATTGAGATTAAAATTTGACCAATCAGGACAAGAAAATTTTAGTTCCTTTTATCCTTGGTCAAATTTCAATCTTCAATACGTAGTCTGATATGGGCTTTACCGTGTCCTGTGTGCAAGAGCCATATGAATCAAACGCTTCGAAACGTTTCTAATATCCGGTCAATTTCACCTGCCTTGGATGCAAAAAAAGGGAACAAAAATTTATTTGTCTTTCTTGATCGATTCGAGATCGACTTAAAACAAGCAAAGTGTACTTTTAATATCTATATAGATTTCTTAATATATATATTATATATATAACAAATGAAAATGCATAATATATATTTAAAATTTTTATTAAAATTATATTATGAGAAAGGTGACAAATTTTTAGTTATGATGCATATATTAACAAACACATTTCGCTATCCAAACAAAAGACATTGATAATAATTTAGAATCATCCCTCATCGTTATAAAGTGACGCAGGCAGATTAGAATCCGTGTGTTCGGATAATGATTTATGATCAAATACAAAAAGACATTTCGGCTGGTACTGCTCCACAGCTTCCAAGAGGCTATCCGGATAACCGGGCGAATAGTATCTAAAACAATTTTCCGTCAGTTTAATAAAGGATAGTAACTGCTTAAGAAGAGAAATATACTGCTTAAGTTACTGATTCAATTTTAACTTACAATTAAAATTTAAATTTGAAAGTTTTTCCATTTTTGCTTCCTCATAGAGAAAGCTTTGTTTTCGTGACAAAATGTTTTTGGGAGTTTTCTATGCCAATGTGTTTAGAATGTTCCAAAACGTCGAAAAATCATATTTCTAAAAAATGTCTATGTATGTATGTATGTATGTATGTACGTATGTACGTATGTACGTATGTACGTATGTACGTATGTACGTATGTACGTATTTTTTTTTTACATGGATAGAGTATCATTCAAGGATGGTTGGTATTGAATTTGGTGAGAATCGATGAAAAGGTTCATTTTTTATAAAATTTTTAATTTTTTGAGAAATGTCTGTATACATTGTAACTTTCGCAAATTTTTAGATATCAGGTTAAATTTTTTTACATGAATAGAGTATTATTAAAGTGTTATTAAAATGTATGAGTATTATTAAAATGTTTGATATTGAACTTAGTGAGGATCGGTGAAAGAATTCATTTTAATTTTTATTTCGCTCACAAAGCTTGCAAAAATTGAAAAATTCGCATGCTTAAAGCAGCTTTAGCTTTGTAAGATAAAATGATGAGGAAGCAATGTGCAAGTTTCTGATTTGCACAACTCTACTTGTTTGTTATTCTTGTGTGATTCAAAATGTGTGTATATATATATTATTATTATTATTTTGACTCCAACTTTAGCGCTATATATAATACGAGTTTATTTTTATCTCGGCGCAATCACTTAAAAGCAATCAATATAGTTTGAATAACTCTCACAAACTTATATTTATATTTAATAGATTAT